AAAAAATCAACTGTACCTCAATAACTTCAATGTTATTCTACAGCCTCAAAACGCGTCTAGCACAAAATTGAAGTTGAATAACGAGATGACGTAGTTGCAATTTGTATTTTTATTCGGCGACTACCAGGCATTTTCAGGGCCGTATTTACCTATACTTGCCGCCCATAGGCCGCCTACATTTTGCCGCCCCCTTCTCATTCGTTTTAAAACATCAATAAAAACTATCGAGTGAATGTGACAACACGCGTTTGAAACACGCGTGAACACTACTCGTGTTGAATACATTTTTTGCGGAAGCCCTGTCAACACTATTAGCAAAATACCACGGAACTTTGCTTCTCCATTTATAAGAAATGAACCAAAAAATTATGAAAGAACGAACATGAATGTGGTATAATAATTTTAACTTCCGCCGCTGCGCCGCGCTGATCGCACTGTGTTAAGCGCAATGCGTGAAGTATTCCTGCAGTCTTGTAGGCGCTATGCGTTTCGCGCCCACCGCTCCTGACCGCACGGTGTTTGGCGCAATGGGTGAAGTATTCATGCAGTCTTGTAGGCGCTAATGTCGTGCGTTACATGCCGACCGCCGCGCCGCGCCGAGGGCTTGTCCTTTTCATATCAAGTCCTCGTCATCATTCCTCTCTGCACTAAGCTCCAGGCCAAATTGCGTGTTTAGTTCCTCTCTTAACTCGACTAATTAAAGATAATGTCTCTTGTATCCCCGAAAAACGACAAAATTAGAAATTACTGTACTCTCAGGAAAGAGAAATTTTGTCCCCTTTTCTCATTGATGATTCTTTTTTCTGAATCCGATTTTTTCTATATACCTACATTCAAAAAAGTTGCAAAATTTGCCGCCATGGGCCACGGCCCATGTGGCCACTTCCTTAATCCGGTCCTGGGCATTTTTAATTGAAAACTTCACAAATTTAGTCACAAATTACTGACAATTATCAGCAAAATTTTGGAAAGAGTTTGCGTCGTCAACTTAGAGTGAAAAAATGAATTAAGGAGGTAGATTTTGCAATCTTGGCAGTAAGATATGTTATTTTGTCATGAGAACGTTGCGCTCCATTCTCAATGATGAGGAAAAAGTCGAGGAAAAATTTCGAAGACATTCGCAGTCAGTTCTCCTGTGAAAAAGCACGAGAACAAAAGATTATATTAAACTGGTCACGGCCGAGATCCTTGTTTCATTACACACTGAAAAAAAAAAAATCGGTCATGTGAACCGAACGTTCGCTGTTCCGTATTATCCCAAGTATTCGGTTCGTCAAACTGATTTTTCACTCCGCGTGACCGTATGTTCGGCATATATGACCAAACTTAGTTCGTCAGTTCACTTCACCACACAAGTTCGGTTACACGAACCGAAAGTTTGGTTTGACGATCCGGAAGTTCAGTTTGACGGACCGAATTAGTCGGGATGATACGGAACAGTGGCGTGGCAAGAATGATCGATTATCGATATTTCCCCATTCGAATCCGTGGTAAAGAATCGATTACTAAGGTGTTCGCTGCATGCGAACACCCTGTTAATCGATTCTTTTCCATAGATTTAAATAACAGGTCAATCGATATATCGCAAAGCACGCCACGCCATTGATATGGAACACCGAACTTTGGCACATACGACCGAATTTTTTTTTTTTTCAGTGTTCATTTTAAGATGACCCCTTCACAGTTCATGCAGTCCCATCATTTTCAGAGTTTTTGTGAGTTGGCGTAGCTGCCGGCATCATTCGAAACATAGGCACGCGGGGTAGGCCCCTACGCAGTGTTTAAGTGAAGGAATCGAGCGCAAATTGGGTAGCGATTCCCGGGTATGACCTCACCACATCGGGCCGGTCTCAGTTAGTAGTTGGATATGAATAGCAAATTAATTGAGGTCGGTGTTTCCGTTCAGACGAATGCGGGGTCGCATTGATGCCTGCACACTCACAATTGATGGATGGTTGAATCTGGGAAGATGGATCGCTGGATTGTTGCTTTATTGCGTCGGCTTTGATCGTGTTGTCTGGCATACCCCTAATTCCCCGGTACATTCCAGTTTATAATCTTTGCAATGGCGAATTTGTAGGTGTCTGAAATTTGATGAATTTCGTGTTTCAGTGGAAGTATTCGTGCTAAATGCAACTGTATGCAAGTGGAAAGATGGGGTGTGCTCTTTAGTTGAGGGCCATAAGAATGAATGGGGATTTTAAAGCGCCAGTGACGTCAGCGGTGACGACCGGGCTCTACGAGCTCGTGGCGCGTCTTCGGGGCGCTTTTACTCATGAGCCCTGTCCACAACCCTTTTGTCACGTGTCCACGGCTCAATAGTTAGCGCTCAGTTCCTTTTGATTAAATGTCAAATCGCGCTTTTCCATTTCCTCAAAAGGAACTATACCCACTTTTACATTGTTTCTTAAGAAGCTTGCACGAGCACACCCCATCTTTCCACTTCCACACAGTTCCTTTTAGCATAAGTACGTCCAAGTGAAAACCAATGTGTGAGCTGATCACAAGGATGCCATTTCTTCATAAATTGAACAATTATCGGAGGAGATATGACGGAACGATCTAATCTGCTAAAATAAATGTGTATAAATTGGAAACGGCGCTACATGACGTCACTAGGCGGTACTTTTTCTAATTTTTAAATCTATTTATAATACTTTTTTCCGTGTTAGAACAAAAAATAATGAAATACTGTGAAATCAGCTCTCTGAGTGCTCAGATGAAGCAAACCAAAATTAGCATGCAAATTCTCCACGGTGAAAATGTTACATTTTCCCCGTTTGTGTCACTAAGGAAGCTTATACACATGAGTCAATCGGAAATGGATTCCTTAAGTCTGAACTCTCAGTATAACTCTAGAAAATTCAATTGTTGCAGTATCGATTTTGAGAAATTTAAAACCTAATCACAAACGCCTGGTGGTTAACTAACATCGTCTTTGCAGTTTTCTTTCCGTTTTGCGCATCTTCTCCGGAATATTACCCTGCAAAATGGACTTCATTTTGCACTTAGGAACTACAATTTCTGGCTCATTTTTAAAAGCATTTATCTGCATAGGAAAACTCATTACAGTTACGTTGTTTCTAAAATGAGCCAGACATAGTTGTTCCTAATTGCGAAATGTAGTTCAAGTCATAATGGGATAAAGGTTCACCGATCTAGTCACGATCACGGCACACTCATCTCGTTCCGGGGGTGAACGGGAACGCTGCTTTGTTAAGAGAAAACGCCTTATGAGCCTTTCGAGGTTGCCAAATTTCCTTAACCAAATCACGAATTTTCGAGCAAATTGCTGCACATCATTTCCCTAAGTTCCCAGAGAATTTCGCTCGTGACTCTAAAATGTCTAGAAGTTTCAAGGAAGAAATATTAATGACTTTCCTCACAACTAAACATTTTCTGTGAGGAAATTTGGCAACGTTCGAAAGTTCATACGGCGTTCTTCCTTAGCGCAGGAGGACGGCCGATGGCGGGTATCGATTTGCATTCTGTACTTGTTGGCTTTCCCCTGTCTCCTGGTCTCACCGTACCCACCCCCAAGTTCACCCACATACTTTACTTGCCGCGTTTATTTCCGCGGTGTAGAACAACAAGAATCTCATTAAAATATGCGAGGATCGTCGACAGAGCCCGCCCGTATTTGACGCCACAGGCTCCGCAAAACTGAGGGGAAGGGGGGAAGTCACTATTCACTAACGCTTTGCGAAGAAAACTTTCATGCTTGAAACGCCATTTTATTAGTCAGACTGTATTACAAGAAAATGAAGCAAGGGTTTCGCGATGTTGTTAAGACTGTAAGAGACTGTAAGGGACTGTTAAGACCTCCCTTTTCTTGGCGGTTTCTGCATATCGACGGCTAAAGTGTGAAACCACGTTTATCCATTTCGTTGTTCCAAAATATCCACTCCTACCATCATTTAAGAGAAACGAGCCAACTGCTCAGATTGAAAGTTATACAGAATGTCTTACAGAGATGAAAAAGTAGGGAAATTGAACCGATTATTTTCCAAATTATGCAAGCGCCAATCTCTAATTTGGTGGTAGAAGGGTTGTTTTTTATATTTTGTCTCCGGTATAATAATCCATGTCTGATTTCTAAATAGCCTTCTAAAAGAACATACATTTTTTTTTTGGAATTCTAAGATTGTCAACAAAGCTAATAAAATGGTTTTTCTTGTTTTTCTCGCAAACGCGATATCGATGCTTACGTGATTTGGAAAATAATCTGTTCAATTGTTATGAAATTGCATTGACTAGTTTTTCCAGAAAAAAATAAAGATCGACAGGAAATCTATAGTGTCGCAAACGGAGATACAGTGTCTATCACTTCGGCCATCAATATATGGAAGGAAAGCACGGAGTGCATTTTTTGAGCCTACTTCAAAAATACAAAGCAAAATAGAAATTCCTGCGGCTCAGGTGAAGTTAGGTGAGATAATCTATTATTTCTCCTGAACTTCATAGTCCCTGAAATGAACTCGCGATTTTTCCGTGTTTATTGCCTTCATGCCCAAGTATTTGTGTCAATTCTCTTATTTAGACTACACTTTGCAATTCGGAACTACGATTTCTGGCTTGTCACTAAAAACACTCATGTGCATAGGAAACCTAATGGAACATATGTTGTTTCTAAACTGAGACAGAGATTGTAGTTCCAAATTAAAACGTGTATTCTATATTTAGTTCAACGTCTCTTCTCGAGACGTTGCAGTCGTGCTAAAAAGAAGCGCTGCATGAGCTGCCAGACGTTGCCACTTTTCATTCGACAAAAATCAAATTTTCTGTAAAATTCTCCGGATATTTTCTGATAATTTTTCTGAAAATTTAGTTCCCACTTTAATTTATAATATATCTAAAATTTAAAGAGAAAGTACGAAAATACCTAAAAAAATACATGTTTCATCTGGGGATTTCTGGCAACTCTCGAATGTTCTCACGGAGATATTCTTACCACAGCAGTAGTAACGTAGATAAAACTAGTAGGTGTGCATAATACATACTTTTTTCCATCTCATATTGTATGTCACTGTCGTCAACCATTTCCTGGGCATTTCTTTCATAGTGCAGCTCCCTCCTTAAGATTTTTTCAGGCTGCAGTGTGATATCTTCCAAAGCTTTTCTCTTAGACGCACTCTTAGTGCGATGGTGATGTTCTGTTGGTTTTACATCCATTTGAACGTGATCACGGTGAACAACTGAACACACTGAGGTTAACAATTCAGTTCCTGCCGCATCGCTTCGAACTGTGGCGCCGCACTGTTTGAAAACACACCTCCACGAAACAGTCTTGTCGGCCATAACTCGTTGTTTCCGGTATTTAAAACTGTCTATAATGATGTACGGCACGCCTCTCAGAGTGACACCTTTTTCAAATTCCATTTTTCCGCCGAAAAATTACGCATCACAAGCCTCACGCACGGCCGACCGATCGTAGCACACTGATTACTGATTATACAATACAATTATGCAGTGTTGATCAGCCGAATCACTGATTCACGATCTCTTATCAAATTTTCACCCAACAGCGATTTCCTGATTTTTGGTGTGATAAGCTTAAACTCCCATGCAATGTTGTCATATTCATCGGCGGATCTAGACACTTTGGCGGATCCAGCAATTTGGCAACACTGGATCTCCTCCATTCAAACCTACGGAAATGTATCGATTCTTAGAGGGATCAGGTGCTCCGACAAGAATCGATCATTTAGCCTAGGTTTAAATGAACGAATCCGGTGTTGCCAAATTGCTAGATCCGCTTCTGTCTAGACACCTCAAACGGGTGGTGGAAGGGGGCTCCGGGACCTCCTCAGAAAATTTTCGAATTCTTGAGGCTACCATGAGTTTAATTCAATTTCGTCATTAATAATTATTACCAAATATATGCGTCTTTCCTTCTTCTTTCCTTCATTCCTTCCTTCTTTCTTCTTCCTTTTTTTCGAGCGAACGGAGAGGCGCGTACGCGTACGTCCCTTACGCTCCTTTGGATCCTCTTTTGGTCATATTGCAATTAAATGTTCCGTTTTTTCGATTCTTGTCGGAGCACCTGTCCCTCAAAAAATCGATACATTTCCATAGGTTTAAGGTGATTCGATGGACGCCATATTTTGTGTCAGAATGGCATGCGATATATCGCATCAACTGGTTCCATTTTTTCAGCTACTCGTCATTTTTCTCCAATTTTGAGATCGCAATTCTGTTGTCAGGAGACTAAAGCACTCACTTACCAATTTTAACAAAGAAATTCAACGTAATAAAGGCGTGGTTTTTTTTAGAGAGAAAACATCGCATTCGATACTGATATCGAAACTGCACTCGAATGCGATATTTTCTCTCTAAAAAAACCACGCCTTTATTACGTTGAATTTCTTTGTTAAAATTGCTTTAGTCTCGAGACAACAGAATTGCGATCTCAAAATTGGAGAAAAATGACGAGTAGCTGAAAAAATGGAACCAATTAATGCGATATATCGCATGCCGTTCTGACACAAAATATGGCGTCCATCGAATCACCTTAAATGGAGAAAAGATAACGTTGCCAATTCGCTGGATCCGCCACGCCAATGATCTCCTGAGAGTTCAAACCTCCGAACCGCGCGAAATACGTATACTCAACTCCTCAGTTTGTATAACCAAGCTTTATTTCTACTTCCTTTAAAGGGACCCTCCTATCTTTAGTCTGTTAGACTATGCGAGATGAACTTCGAATCGGATCGCGAGGATGTCCTTACACCGGGCGAGGTAATCCTGGACTTGAACCCGTCGGTGCCTGTCCGGGGTGAAGGAGCAAATATTTGAGGAAGAGGTAAATGGAATGAGTAAACAGAGCGATGGGCCGTCACGTGGAATGGTGGGAGGGGCTCCCTGCCCCCCCTCCCGTCCACCCCCGATCCGTGTGGCGGGGGCGGCGGGGGTGCAGCACGCTCACATTTCACGATGAAGTAATTACTTTATTTTAGGAGCTTAGACGATTTTTTCCGGCCTCGAACGCCGCCTCGGCTCCGTGGCGATTCTTGAAAGTTGGCAACACTGTTTCCCTTTTATTTAAATGCATGTACAACACTGCCGTGATAGCGAAGAGAGCCGTAAGGGCAACATTTTCGAAATCGAGTTTTCTTCAAAATTCGTCTAAACTCCTTTAGATGGAATTACTGAGACAGCTAAAACAGTAAAATTCATCCTAATTTAATGAAAACAAGACGTATGTAAACGCCGTAAGTGCACAAAAAATGACACAGTTTTTCTCAAGACAGCCGCAGGTGCATGAGAGCCAATGAAAACAGTGCTTTCAAGAGGAATGCCGCCCTCATCTGCCGATCTCTAACCTGAAAATGTATTCGTTGTGCGTCCAAAACGCAACCACGAAAGCATGCAGAAGACAGCACTTACCTACGGCTGTCTTGCCTAACAATAACCTAGCATGAAAATGAAAAATACCCTTTTTATGTAATATAAATAAAATCAGTCGATTTTTAATCATCCAAACGATTTCTAGGAGTCTTTCAGACGATTAGTGGCAATTTCACAAAGAACGGAGGCTTCTTTCAATAAAATTTTCCGGTCAGAAGCTTCTGAGCCCGTTTTCTCAAAACTTCATTTTTGCACTTACGGCTCCCTTCGCTATCACGGTAGAACAACTGGACGAATTTCTGCCGAACACATAAAGACATGAGATCTGGGACCCATAAGAATATGTGCGTAACAGGGCTCACGTCATTATGCACATAGTTCCGTTTGATAGAAATACGCCCAATTGATTCTCGGCAGCTAGTATCACCCAAAAAAGATTTTTAAATGGGTTTAAATGGAGGGGAAACTAGGTTGCCAGCCTCCTGAGCTCAGGTGCAAGCGTCTGTGTCGCTCATGAAAAGCTGAAAGCATGGATACTGAACTTAAAAATTCTGATCCAAAAAGCACGAAAAAGTCCCCATGAAATCCTAAGCGTGCTCTCATCTCAGGGCTGGATTTACGATTTTTCGAGCCAAAGCTACAATTTTTGATGCGGACCCCCTTGCATTTCCTCTCCTTGGAGGAGGGGGGTTTAGTGGTGAATTTAGCCAGTAGAGGGGCGGCCGACTGAACTCGGAAACTCGCAGAATAACAGTCTTTGCAGGTCTCAAGAAACTTTAGAAGGGTTTTATGTTTGACATTAAGAACTTAAAGATTCCCATTTCGGCTTCAATTTGTAAGTTAGGCCAAGGAGCATCCTCCTATCATCTATGACCTAATTTGGTTCTGCACTGTCCATTTCAAGGCGACTTATCGGAAACTCAGAATAAGAGTCTTTAGAGGTCTTAAAAAACTTCATAAGTAACTTTTGATGCGGGCTCCCCTGCACTTCTTCTCGGAGAAGGGGGGCTTCGTGGTGATACCCAGATGCGGGGTGGCCGAATGAACTCGGAAACTTAGAGTAACGGTCTTTAAAGGCCTTAAGAAACTTTAGGCGGGTTTTATTTGACACCAAGAACTTAACGATTCGCATTTCGACTTTAATTTGTAAGGTTGGCCAGGGAGCATCCTCTGCTATGACCTAATTTTTTTCTACGCCATCTATTTCAAGGGGGCTAATCGAGAACTCAAAATAAGACTCTTTAAAGGTCTTAGGAAACTTTAGGCGGGTTTCATTTGACACCAAGAACTTAACGATTCCCATTTCGCCTTCAATTTTTAAGGTAGGCCAAAGAGCATCCTCCGCGCAGCAATAGTTATCTATTCCAAGGTTTGGGGCCTTTGCTGTCTTGTTTGATACTATTCATTCGACACTAAGAACTTAACGATTCGCATTTCGCCTTCAATTTGTAAGGTAGGCCAGGAGACATCCTCCTGTTATCGATGTCCTTATTTTGTTCCACGCCGTCCATTTCATAGCGGCTAATCGGACACTCAGAGTAAAAGTCTGGCTCGAACACAGAAATGTTGGGATCTCAGCCTTGAGCCTGAAGAGACAGGCTTTCGTTGAATGATTCCAGTGGGATCCTGTGAATGCCGTATTCTTTTGCCGCCGTCTGTTGCTATCTCCACCTCCGGAGGCAGACAGCCTTGAGTCCCCAGCGTTATTTAAAGAGGATCTCTGCCGTGCTAAGAAAAAACGCCGTACGAGCCCTCAGACGCTGCCAAATCTCCTTCGGCCAATCGCGAATTCTCCGGAAAATTTATGGATATTTTTCTATGTAACTTTTGGAGGATTATATTTTTTAATTTAATCTGGAGTGTCCGAAAATTTCAAAGAAAAATATTCACAGCGCTCTGCAAAAATTCACGTTTTTAGAGAGGCAATTTGACAACATTTGAATGTTCTTACGGAGTTCCTCCTTAGCACGGCAGATCTGTTGACTCAACCGGGCCGGCGGATGCTCAATAAATTGCGGAAATTATTAGGCATCTTTGAGATTGGGAGTGCCGCTTTATTGCGAGGCCCGGCTCCGGACTTGCGCTGAGGATTTTTGTCGGTGGTCCTGGCACCGGATTTACGGTCGTTTCCGGAACTATCGCCGTGCCGCACAGTAAATCGAGTCAATTAGAGAGGTCGGGCATACAATTTTTGACTAAAACTGCAAATTTTGCTGTTTATTTCGTCACATTTTAAATTTCAAGGGATGCCTCCAGCAGATAATTTCACGAGAAAACCATAGGAACCACTTTTAGAACCTCAAAATTGTATACAAACGGAGTTACAGGCGTTTAAAGTTTCCGAATTTTGTCCGACCTCTACTATTGATTCAATCCACTGTGCGCCGTAAGATGGATTCCCAGCTTTGGCGCAATTCATGCTGGGTAAGATCTATCTCGTGTTCTTTATTTCATATTCTGAGAGTATCAGATGAGTAAATTACGTGGTGACTTAATGCGAATGTTAGCGAAGAGCTCAGAAAATGCCGCTTTTAAAAAGTTCAAAAACTCGAAGGAAATTCAAACGCTCCGGAATGGCGGGAAAATATTGGTAGTGCGGTGTATTACGGTAGCAAGTCGCTACGCGATTTTTCAAAATCCTATGATTTTTTTGTCGTCGTCAATATATCTTCTTCATTTTGTTCGTATAAGCTGTCCGACAAACTCTTTTCATTATGCTCAAGCGACAAAAACGTGCAAAACTGCAATCCGGAGGGTGTGTTCGCGTGCTACCGTGTGAGTTACGGGATGTTGAACACGAGGGACTTCGGATCGCTCAACAGTGACGCCTCACTGCATCCTAAAATTCTCTAATAACCTGCAAAAATTGAAAATGAGTTAGGCACTTTGGATGGCGCAACAATGAAGAAATTCATTACTTTTTTCGGAAAAAATTAAGGGAGCAAATTCGAACGTCAAAAGAGTCATCGCAGGCTGTCTTAGGACTCAGCAACGTGGCATTACCTTGGATGTCCAGATGGACCCCCTTAACTGGAAATTAATCGTCATTCTAAGAGATCAATTTTCATGATTTACAGCAGCCTGAACA